GATGTGTCCTTAAATGACTAAATTACCTCCTCAACATGTCTTGAAGTTCTCCAGAGGCCTGATGATGAACTAATCATTTGATTCAGGCGTGTTGACCCAGGGTGAAATCTAGCCTGGTTCTGCCGGAGGTTTCTTCCTGTTAAAAGGGAGTTTTTCCTTCCCACTGTCGCCAAAGTGCTTGCTCATAGGGGGTCATATGATTGTTGGGCTTTTCTCTGTATCTATGAAGCGCCTTGAGGCGACATTTGTTGTGATTTGGCGCTATATAAATAAAATTGAATTGAATTGAATTGAATTAAAACCAGCAGGACACCGGCCCTCGAGGCCTGGAGTTTAACACCCCTGCTGTGCACTATGCCGGCCACTTGGTTATGGCGTTCCATGTATGCCTTGCAGCTAGCATCTTACACCCTGCTGTTATGTGCTGGATTGTCTCTGGGGCATCTTTACACAGCCTGCACCTGGGGTCTTGCCTGGTGTGATAGACCCCAGCCTCTATGGATCTTGTGCTCAGAGCTTGTTCTTGTGCTGCCATGATTAGTGCCTCTGTGCTGTCTTTCAGTCCAGCTTTGTCCAGCCACTGGTAGGATTTCTGAATATCAGCCACCTCCTCTATCTGCCGGTGGTACATACCGTGCAGGGGCCTGTCCTTCCATGATGGTTCCTCGTCTCCCTCCTCTTTCTTGGGTTTCTGCTGCCTGAGGTATTCACTGAGCATGCTGTATATATACATATACATATATACAGTGTTGGGGAGTAACAGAATACATGTACCGCCGTTACATATTTAAAATACAAAATATGAGTAACTGTATTCCGTTACAGTTACCGTTTAAAAAGGTGGTATTTAGAATACAGTTACTTTGCTGAAATAAAGGGATTACACGGCTTCACAGAGTGGAACGGACCCTCTTAGAAACCTGTTTGGAGTTACATTCACGCAGTCAACTCTCAGATAAAATACTCTGAAAAGGCGAAACAAGTACAAATTCAGTGATTTTCTATTTTAATATATATAAAAATATTCATGCATTATTATTTTGCTCAGTCTCAGTGAAGCTTTGTATCACACACATGTAGTCCATCTCTCCCTGCTGTGGTGGGCTCCCTCTTCTTCCACTCCAGGGAGGGCCACTGTCACTTAATCCGGCCACTTGCCCCTCTGCACCTGTCAGGTGCCATCTTGTATCTGCGGTTAAGCTAGCAGAAAATAGCCCTGGGAGCGCAAAGCACTACAGGAACTGAAGAGAGGAGCTTTGCAGAATCTGAGCTCTGACCAGGAAATCTGGTCCGTTGTTCTGGAGAGGTGATGGGTCATTGTACTGCAGGGTTTTTCAACTAAAATAATGTCTTCTGGGCAATACACCTTCTGACAATATGGTGACTGGAACATTATAGTAAATGGTAAATGCCATCTATCTAAGTTAGGAACAAACACATGAGAAAAATAAAATCTGAAATTGTTTCTAAAAGAAGTCAGTCTAATTAACCTTTATTACAAAAAAGAGATGAATTAACTGTCGAGGCTGACCAGTCATAATTGATTTGTCCGTTAGATAATCCACTTAAAAACGACATAACACATTACAGAGCCCCTGGACACACTTCATTATGTCCACTGGAAAACATACAGTGGTACAACACCTGCCTTTGTTGAATATGCTGCAAAAATAGACTGGCCATCAGCTTCTCAGAGCTGCACATACATTAGAGCCTGTGAAGCCCTGCTTGTTAGTTAATGCATAAATTATCAGTGAGTACAGAGCAGGAGATGTACTCTCAGTATATACAACTTTAAGAATTTCTAACTTGCCTCCAGTCTAGACTACTGGATGAATTTTTGACTTTTAATACTCATATGTCCAGTTTTACAAAAGTAACCATTTTGCTAACAAAAAGGTTGAGCTTTTACTGTATCCATGACACTGAAAAGCTTAAACCTCCCACTATCCAAGACAATTAGCATTTCATTACCATTTGAAAAACTGCAACACCATGCCAGCCACTAACTAGAAGGTCTAACAGAGCCAAACCTGAGGCACAGTAAAGTGTCCCAAATTTCAGAGATGGTTGTATTTCACACACCTTAGGTTTGTCAAATTTGCATATTTTTGGAAGCACGTTTTCTTGCCATTATGGGTCACGATGCAAAGTGAGCTAATGCTAGTTCTTGGTTAAGATGCCAAAGCTTAAATTGTGTGTATATGTGTGTGAATCATGATCATCACAAGCACGTTAACCTGAAAAATAAATATAACTTGAGTTAGTATATGTGTTTTGCTGTTCTGTGCTCTGTCTTTAACGTGACAGCAAAAACATCACTTTGTCCATCTTTGAAATCTTTGTTCTAGTAGCTGCAAGTCCAGCAGCGTGAAAAAAAAGTGACTTAGCAGCATTAGGACCAAGGCTTAAGTGCAATCAAACTATGTTGGATAGCTTTTGTTTTTACAAACTATCCGTTCAGATAAAATAAATAAGTTAGACTGTGGCTCGATTCATAAAAAGTACTTGGAAGCAGTGCTGAACTCTTCCTTCTTTCTTCCAAGAGCATGCTGTGACTGGCTCCAGGCCACAGTAACCCTGACAAGAATAAGTGGTTCAGCGAAATTAATTATTAAATGATGGTGGTAATTGAAAAGGTTTAACTCGCACTGTAGGTGCCTGATTCTCCCCTGTACTCTTATCTTATGAACCTGGGGCCAGTTCATTTGCTTCCCTCTAATGGGCTAAAGCTAAAATCCCATTTGAGAAGCATCTGCATCGCTCAAGTGTCCTTGAGCAACACACTGAATCACTGACAGCTGACTGTGACTCCTGACCTGTGTGGGGAGGAAGAAAAAGATCAATCTCCATAAATTATTCTTGATTATTGTCCATTATTGATCATACCCTGCTGGAAGCTATCGATAAGGGAAAAGGGAAGAAGAGCCCACTGTGTTCCTACACTGCCTGGATCCATATTTGACTGTTAAAAACCCTCCAACAAACAATAAAGTGAAGCTTCCTGTTCACCAGTCAAGTTGCCCTTGACTGAGTGAATATTTGGGTGGCTCCACCACAGCAGCTTTGATTTGGATGAATTTTATTCACTGATTTTTACTTGAGAGTTGCATCTCAGCAATGATACTGATACTACATTATTTAAAGATTAGTCAGTAAATTAGCAAGTAACACCTCTGAAGTGGAAAACATCAGCTACTGGCTAGCAACTGTATGGGCTTTGAGATGTTTGAGCACTTGAAGAAGAGATACTTTTTCAAGTAAACTAAACTAACAATCTGTTTTTAGTTACTTTTTATATAAATCTGGGTTAAGAGTCGACTAAGTTTTATTATATTTTTATTAATTTTATTATAAAATAATTATTCTAATATCTATACATCAACCAATATTAGTAGGGGTGCAACGATACTCGTATTGATATTGAACCGTTCGATACAGTGCTTTCGGTTCGGTATGCATATGTATCAAACAATACAAAATTTTTAATTTATTTTATCAACTTTCCTTCTGACGATGCTGTCTGTGTTGAGCGCTCAGTGGATCTGCGCTCGACAGTGCAGCCTAGGCAGAGTAGTCGAACGCAGATTCACTGAGCGCAGGGCAAGCTAGCGAGACAGAAGCTAAGCTCTCGTTGCAACATGGCAAATTGAACCTCCCCCACCCTCATTCAGATCTGGCGTTTGGAACTATTTTGGTTTTCATGTGACGTATGACCCTGAAGGTAAGCGCGTTATGGACAAAAGTAAAACAGTATGTTGGATGTGCCAGCAATGCTCAATTACATTGATGGGAACTAGTGTGTTAGCGCAGTTAGCTTGTTAACGTGTTGACGCCATCCAGCCCCACGCACGGGGCGATCCGCGGTAGCTCGTTAACGGAGATTTGCGGCGTTATGGCGTTAATGTCATTTTAACGAGATTAACGCTGACAGCACTAGTGGGAACACAACGAATATGACTGCACATTTACGCCGACATCATCCTAGTGCAAAGACAAGTGGAAGCAGACAAAAACAACAAGCACGCATGCTACAAACTTTACCCGAGTCATTTAGACAGCTGATTCTCCTTATGGGGACCTGATATGTTTAATATGCTGCTGAGAATATAGCTCAGAAGAAGCGTATAGTATAGCTTTTATTTTGGAAAGAGCCATTTCTCTGTAATAAACTCTCTTTTCCAAAGATGAGTGATTTCTTGATCAGATAAATTTATTTTTATTACTTTGTTGTTTCAGCAACATTAAATTTAAAAACTGTACTTTTGAGTTAAAATATATATTTATAATTTTAATAAATGACAAATTAAAAAGGCATGAACATTTTTATCGAAAAAATATTGAACCGTGACACCAAAGTATCGAACCGAAACGTGAATTTTGTGTATCGTTGCACCCCTAAATATTAGGTATGCATATGTTAAGTAGGTCATTATACTGAGAAGGAAAAAAATTGTTTGCTGTAATTTTATTTTTCATAAACGCCCCCCCCCCAAAAAAACCCCAAAACAAACAAGAACCTTAACATGAAGACACCACTCGACTCTCTACTATCATCAGCTGTGTTCATCTGTGATGCTGCTCTAATACGTGTGAGGCAGAGGACATTAAGAGTAAAGTTGTGTCCACAATGGAAGCAGTTTGCAGTGACATGGTAACCAGGGACCATGAATGACATTCAGTGACTTATGGACAAAATAACTGCTCCCAGCACAAAGTCAGTGGGACAGACACCTCCAGTGTGAATGCAGCTTTAAAACACAAAGGGGAACGAGCATCTCTGATTGGCAAACACGATGATGACACTAGGTATGAACTCAGTATGTCCTGTAAAACTAAATATACATGTTCATTAACGAAAAAACAATTATACCATACACCAGCACATCTAGTTCTGTGTCAGCTTATAATATCACCTGACTGATAAATCATGGAGCTATAACAGATATCACAGACAAGAAAGGTAAGAAATAAGCTTCTTTATTCAATCACACTCACTGAAAAAAAAACTATTTGCTAACAGAAAACAGAGACTCGTTTTTTACTCGGCACATACAGAGAGATACACAGAAATCTAATCAACAACACTAACACATACATATCTAATCAATCACATCCTGAAACAGTTGCTTAAAATAATCTCTTGAACATGCAGTGATAAACAGCTGCATATGACAAGTGGAGGAAAACAGAAAAGGCATGAAAATAAAAGCAAAAAGGAGCAGCAGCCACAACATTGCAGGGGGGACATCATAAAGTGTACAGTAAGGAAAATGGCGCAATCTCAACAATATAAGTCATTATTCTGATGGCAGTGTTTTGCCATTCCATAAAACATCTCTTGCTACATTCCTACTATGACATAGTTTCACCTCCATTTAAAGATTTATCAGCACATTCGTGCACTGGAGCTACCCACATGCAGTATTTCATTTGCAGACTACACTAAAACTGTTTAACAGGAAGCTGTTTCCAGCTAAAATTCAATATCAGACTTCCTTCAGCCAGAAAACCTTAGAGGAATGTAAGTTAAAAGACACATAACTGGGAATTTTATCCTAATTAACAGAGGTTCACACAAGGCTGTGAAACACTAAGCTGCAAAAAATACCTTGTTAGATCACGGAAAATGCTTTTTACACAAGGCAGTGAAATCCAACTGTCCAGCAGCAAACTGCTGGATACAGCAGGGAAAATGCTTAACGCTAATTACAGCCTGGCGTAACAGATATACACTCGAGAAAATGATAATATTACAGTTGTAATTACTGCCAATTAGAGAAAAATTAATTATTTATGAAGGAATTTATTTAAGCAGGAAAACAGAGAGAAGTGATTTGTTACCGGGCAGTGTGGAGCTATAAATATTACATAAGAGGAACTAATCGAAAAATATTAAACTCTACGATATGTTCTGAAATGACTTGACTTTGAATTTCCAAGACACTGATTACTGCTGTATTATGAAACTGTTGCATTATCTGTAAGTCCTTCATGACATTTTTGGAAGCAGTGTTAAACTTAGCAAATATTAGAAAAGAGCTCAATGATCTGAGGTGGCTGACATGAACGATGAGTAGCTGAAACCATGTGAAAAAGGTTGCTTTGGTTTTGACTACATCCTGTAAATGACTGTGTATGGAATTTAACAACTGTGAGGCAAAAGACGCCACACAAAAAGTTAGGCCTGGTACTAGAAGTAATATGTATTTTAATTGCATATCAATTTTAATTCCATTTAGATTGCATAGTCTTAACATAAAGCAATAAATGTAATAGTAAAAAATGTGCCAAACAGTTGATTTGTCAGTAAGACTACATCTTACTGACAAATATGCATTACATTATTTTTATTACTTTACATTTAAACTACGGAAAAAACGAGTAGAATCAAAATTTTTGTGCAATTAAATTATATAATCTTAAATATCAGGCCTGAATATTTTTTTCCCCAAACGGACACCATGAAAACACACACGCACGCACACACCAATAGACAAGTCAAAAACCATTTTTTTAAAAATCGTATTCTAAAATGTCTTTTGTTCCTTACAGAGAAACTACATTGCATACTGTAAAAGGTAAAGAACCAGTGTTTTGACTAACACATAAAACATTTTATATATTATTTTTCACAAATAAATCTGCTGATCTGAATTCTAGTTTTATTAGAAGAGACAAAGTTTTTTGCACTTTCTTTCTAAATAAAAGCGATAAACTTTTCATTCGTTACTGGCCGTTTCTGACCATGTTTAAGTCTTCTGCAGTTCATCCCGGGCTGAGCATGGAAACAGCACCATGCAACAGCCATTTTACAGACCATAATCCAACAGAGTCCCCCTTCTCCAAAGCGATTGACTGAAACAGTGACTTCACCATTATATGAAACTGCACAAACAAACAAGCAGGCCTTGTGCTCACACTAGGTCCTGCATGTGAGAACATCAGCAAAGGGGCCTAATAGATTCTTGTTGAAGATGCACCTAACCCACACCAGGTAAGTGGTGAAGGGCTTAATGTTTTCTGAAAACGTGTAGTTCTGCTGGGGAAGGATATAAGGCATGTAGGTGTTCTCTCCCTGCTCCTGGATCCACACCTCGTACTTCACCTCTCTCACTTTTAGGAATTTCAAATTCCATGGGATCTGCCAAGCGACTGTGAGTTTAGCCTCATTAGTGGTTTGTACTGAAGTTTGACATTTAGGTTCTCTGACCCGGCCCGGATGGACCGTGCTGGCCACCTTGGCCTTTTTTAAGCTGGGCCTGGTCTTCATGCCTTCTTTGAGAACTTCCAGAAAGGACGGGATGTCCACTAAAGTGTCCTGATAGATCCGGAAGAGCCACTCTGGGTTGCGGCAGCAAAGGTGCCTGGGGACTTCCTTGCTTGCCTGGATCCGATCCTGCTCCTCTTTGTCCAAGTGAGCAATGCCTCCTTGTTCCCAGGGTCTGTCTGGGTGGGTGAAAGTATTCTCCTCCTTAGTGTTCCTCCAGGAGATGTAGTGAATGTCCATGCCTGGAAGGGAGGCAAGAGTTTTATATGGTGTATACTGCTCAGGGTTCACAGCAAAAGGGAACAGCTCCACCACAGCAGCACCTCTAGGGAGGAAGAGTGAGGTGATAAGCTGAGCTCCATGCATGCTGACCAACATGGAAGCGCCACTGATGACCTGTACAATACTGGGAAAAGACTGCTCTTCCAAGGACACTGTGACCACTCTCATCTGAAACTCTTGGGCCAGCGCCATGATTACCTCTGCTTCATTCAGTATAAGTCTTGTTGTTGACCGACTGAAAACGACAATGTAGTCATCCTTCTTCTCTTTCTCCTTCTTATCCTCAGCACTTCCTCCCTCCTTCTCCATCTCCTCTACCCTTGTAATGTTCATTTTGTCCATCAGAGCTCTGGCAAACTGCCTGATCTCATTGCCTGAGACCAAGATGTTAGCTTTGGGCCCCTGTGGCTGGACAAAGCCATATTGGTACCAGGTAGTCATTTTGGACAAGCCAACATAAGATTTAGTAAAGCACATGAGCTTTCCAAAGTTCTTAAGCTGTTCTTTGAGAAGTGGTTGCTTACTACTGAGAAGACGGTAAAGGTCAAAGTGTGGGCCTTCGCTCCAGCCCTCCATGAACACAAGACGAGCCTCGTCATCCAAATCTGAATACTGCTTCATGGTATAGTAGGCTGGGAGGAGGTCGTCGTGGAATACATGCATGAGGTTATCAGGATTAAACCGATTCAGGATCAGTGTTATATCTGGTACAAACACAGGCTTGGGCATAAACTTTAAAGCAGCAGCTGGGAGCTCTAGAAAGTTGAAATATTGGGTATTGTGATCTTCTACTGAAGACAAGTCCAGCAGGGCAGGTTGGAAACGTCTGGACCCCAGGTTAGGCAGCATGACAGAGGAGTTGGAATGGAAGAACACAAACTCCTCTGCCTCAGAGCTGTAACAGAGGTAGTCAAAGCGGCAGATGCGGTCAGTGTGCATCTTCCCAGTGCAGACCATGCGGGTGCCGTGTTCCTGAAGCGCCTGCAGAGCAACATGGTAGTCGATACGGGCCTGTGAGACCTCCTGGGACTGCTGTGTCATATGCAGCTCTTCCTCCAACAGAGCAGCATGCTCACTCAGCTTGGAATATTTCCAAAGCAGAGCTGCGACCACAGAGACCAGCAGACCATTAACAAGTGCACCCACACTCATCCTGCAACCTGCCACTGAAGCCCGCATCACTGCTGCTGCTTAGGACCCACCTCCTGACTCCAACTGGCCTCCAACCTCAGACGGAGGCGACGAGACATCCGCTGCCAGGAGCAGACTTAAAGAAGGGGAAGAAGAGATGAGCACAAGTTAAAATACAGACATTAAAAAAATCTATTTAAAAATAAAATAAAATAAAATAAAGGCATTGTTGCAACAAGCAATTATCTAATTAACAATATAGCACACAGAGGACAGCTATGATATAATAACCAAATTAATAGTCAGACATATAAGGCTGCAGTGCTTTTCATGTAAGCAACACAATATCTGGTGATTCATCTGAACAGATCTCAGCTCTCGCCTTTGGGAATAGCAGCTGTTTACCTAAGCGAACAAATGAGACATTTTCCTAACCTTACATCCTCTGTCACCCTCCCTGAATATGTCAAGACAAATTACAGTGCGAGGAGGCACAGAGAAAGGAACAACACTATTGCTTTCAACTCTACTCATCTGCATACTGAGAGAACAAGTGAGTCATTGAGAGACTCAAAATCTAACCAGCAGCTAATAGCAAGCAGCTGCCAGCAGACACACGGCAGCTAGCATGCTAAATACCTACTTGAGGGCCAGCTTGGTTAAAACAACAGTTACGACAATAATCAATTACTTAACATGCTATTCCTAATTTTTGAATGATATATTTACCCAGCGGAGGAGGTTAAATTTAAATGTATACTTTGATATGCCATGCAATAAGTAATAATTTTATAAAAGGCATTTAGAGAGTGAATCCCTCTCTACAACAAGTCTTGTGACACAAAGTAAACTAAATCAGGTCAGACTAAACTAAGAATGCACACACGCAAATTAAGCAAAGTGTCAAGAACAACACATCGACATGAACCTAGCCTGGGAAATGTTTGTTTTCTTAGACACAATCTTCTTTCCAAGGTCAGGACCAATTTATAACTTGCAATGTATGTACTGCTCTAACACTTTTCCAGTACTTCATTTTATCTTGTTCACTGCATCACTCCCCGAGTTTCTTCCATGCTGTCTCTCTTCAGCAGGAGTTGACCTGACTCCCTGGGCTATTTTTGACATCCATGCAAGTACAATATGTTATTGTCAATAGGGTCATTTTTTGTGATCAACCTGAATACACACAGGCACAATATAGGCAAAACTCCCAAACACAAAATTAACAACGTAGTGCATGCTGTACAGTGTAGCGAGGAATGCTCAGACCTCCAGACTGAAGAGACCAAACAGCCACTTCATAACGCACAACACAGAAGAGCCACCTTGACGGGACAAGACTCGGCTGTCTATCTGCATCTAAAGGACAAATGTCACTCTTTCAAGGACGCCAATGTTCACATTTTGGACAGAGAAGACAGATGGTTTGAAAGAGGAGTGAAAGAAGCCATCTATCTCCACTGTGAACGACCATCTTTGAACAGAGGCGATGGTTTACGACACCAACTGTCTGCCATCGATAATCAAGTTTTGAGATCCCTTCCCAGACGCCTTAACCACCCAATCATGATGGGGTTGGGCTAGGCTTCACAATGGGTTCACCCGAAACCTTGGTTGATTGTAACCCACACCCGTTTTCATACCTTGGCTCGTGTGATTAGGTAGAGGATCAATAGGGGGTCCATGACCCTCTTGTGGATACTCCCATAGGGCTTAAAATCTGGGACCACCAAATCCTAAGCGCAATTGGTGGTTCTTTAAGTTTCCCTGAAGATGTTTCACCTCTCATCCGAGAAGCTTGAAGAGATGAAATTTAAAGAACGCTTTTCTTTCAAAGCTCCTTAGACTATAATGACTATGATGACCAGGATGACTGAGAACCTTTGCAGACAAATATAAGCAGTTCAAAACGCGGCAATGAACAGCTGCTGCAGAGAATAAAGAAGGGTTGCACCAGCTTGACCTACGTCCAAGGTTTTAAAAGTTGAAGCATCTCGTTTTATTATTTTGTTCTCCGGATGATGACCAGGGCAGTATGTTGCTAGCTGGGATGTATCTTGACCAATCTGATGATCATAGCATTTATCTCTTCAGCTAGCTTCATAATTCTCATACAACAATTCTGGTTTTATAAATGTCACTAGCTCATCTTTATTTTCCAAGCTGCTGTCTTTAAAGCCCAAAATGTTACTCTGCAATATACACTAACAGTCAAAAGTCTTAGAACACCCCAATTTTTCCAGTTATTCATTCCAATTCAAGTTGTTCAAGTCCAATGAATAGCTTGAAATGGTACAAAGGTAAGTGGTGAACTGCCAGAGGTTTAAAAAAAGGGGTAAGGTTACCAAAACTGAAAAATAATGTACACTTCAGAGTTATACAAAAAGGCCTTTTTCAGGGAACACAAAATGTGTTAACAATTTAAAGCTGCAGCAATGGAGGTTGACCAAGCCTTAAAGCTGGTGCTACTAATTCCTACAGCTGTTCTAACTTTTCTGGATTACTTACAACCCCCTCTGTCTGCATAAAAGCAGTGTTGGAACACACTGTGGTACCGTACCCTCGTGAGCATCAATTGAACAGTATTGTACTGCAGAAAGTAGTGTGTTACTACAAAAATGGCGAGAAAAAGGCAATTAACAATGGAAGAGAGACAGACCATCATAACACTTAAAAATGCAAGTCTTTCCTACAGAGAAATTGCAAAGAAAGACAAGGTGTCAGTGAGTACAGTTTCCTTTATCATCAAGAGACACTCAGACACTGGGGCAAACTCTGACAGAAAGGTGTCTGCCAGACCCAACGCCACAACTGAATCAGAGGACAAGTTTCTGAGAGCTAACAGCTTGCGTGATAGGTGGCTCACAGGCAACAGCTTCAAGCACAGCTTAATAATGGTCGTAATAAGTAAGCCTCACTTTCAACTGTGAAGGGAAGACTTCGAGCTGCAGGTTTGATAGGACGAGTTGCAGCAAGAAAGTCATTGCATAAGATGTCATTATAAGACAAAGAGGCTTGCCTAGGCTAGAAGGTATTATGGAGTGATTAATCAAAATTTGAAATTTTTGGTTCATCACACAGGATCTTTGTATGCCTTCAAGTAGGCGAAAGGATGGCTCCACAGTGTGTGGCATCCACTGTCAAACATGAAGGAGGAAGTGTGATGGTCTGGGGCTGTTTTGCTGGATCCAGGGTCGGTGACTTGTGCAGAGTAAGAGGCACCCAGAACAAAAACGGCTACCACAGCACTCTGCAGCGCCATGCAGTACCCTCTGGCATGCACCTAGTTGGTCAGGGGTTTATCCTACAGCAAGATAATGACCTCCAAGCTTTGCCAGAACTACCTCTGGAGAAAAAGAAACTTCTAAGCTTGAAAACATCGAGTGACCAGCACAGTCTCCAGACTTCATCAAACTGGTTTGGGATGAACTGGACAGAAGAGTCAAAGCAAAGCAACCTACAGGTGTTCTAAAACCTTCCAATGAGACATTAAACAATTTAATGTCTCATTGCACTCTTTATTATATAAAAAACTGGAAAACTGGGGTGTTCTAAAACCTTGGACCAGTAGTGTGATATGTAATATACTGTGTGTGTGTGTGTGTGTGTGTGTGTGTGTGTGTGTGTGTGTGTGTGTGTGTG